TGCAGTATATGTGTAGAATTTTAAGATTTCATCTGACCAAAATATTTAGAGGCAGAAGGACACAGAAAAATTGTCCAAAACCACACAAAGACAGCAGTAGTCAAGCAGTATTGTAAAAGAAAAAAAATAGTAAAAGTTCACCCCAGCTACCCAATCTAGCTTCCAGCCATTGCCCAGGTTTTGAGGTTAGGTACCTCCTCCCTAATACACTGAAGGTGAATTGAATATTGGTGCACTGAAATTAACAATTAAATAAAATTCCAAAATGAAGAACTTTTTCCCGGTTGCTCTGAATAGTTAGGGACTACAGTACCTTTAGTAGAAAGTAGTAAATGTGTTTTTTGGGGTAAATGTGTTTTTTGGGGGAAACTAAATTCATAAAAGCAGATTAATATCTGTTTTTAATAAAAAACAAATAAAGAAATGTTCAATAGACAGACAACTGGAAGCTTCTTGCTTGCAAGATATTATAGCTTGTGTGCAACCTTTTCTGCTTGTGACCCTTTATTACCCACACAACCCCTTGTCACATTAATAGACTTGCTGGCCACTTTTTTGGGTACACTGTATAATCTAATCTAATACAAAAGCTTCTCATGAAGCTTTCACAATTTCGGTTTTTGTTGCCACTGTTAGAAAGGTTTATTGTTGAGGTTATAGTGGGTGTGGGTGTTGTACTGGAGTGCTTTAAACGGAAATGTATTTCTAATATTTTGTCCCTGTTATGTATGTAAACTGGGTAGACAAAATATTAGAAATACTTTTTAATATAATGCACTGTATTACAACACCGCCGCCAACTATGACATCAACAATAAACTAAAATGTAAGTTTTTGGGCATTTTTAACTATTTTCCAACATTTCTATAGACTAAACCATGAATCAATTAATTGACAGACAGGTAATGTCACAGGCCCCCAAACATCACATTAGAGGGGAGGTAATATAACATGCACATCAACATTTTGGGAGCTCAGTGCGCTCCTTTAGTCATGTTGTAGTTTCTCATCGTGCTTTTTTGGAGCTGTTTTTCCTGCACTGTAAACATGTAAAATGTATGCGTGATTCAACATATTTTCACACACAGTACAGTGCCATAGTGTTACACACACTGTGACAGGATACAGATTTGAGTGTTCACACATCATTAGGAAGCCGTCTGCAAAACTCTGGTGTGTTAATCCACCACGCTAATGTTTGTCTGTTAAATGTGATGCCTCAGCTGGATGGGTCTTTATGGAGTCAATTTCAATTAGACTCTGAGGCTTGTTGGAAGAGTCCTTCAACACCCAATTCGGCAATCTGAATGAGATTAATTACTCTTTTCTTCATGCCAAAGATTTATTTTCAAAAAGGGCTGCGAGACCAGCAGGAATGGAAAGATTTAGGCTTTTGCTCTAAGCTCCAGTGAAGTGAAGCAGTCACACTGTATTATCTATCATTCAGCAGTCCAAAAGAGAATATTGAACCTTCCGATCAATACCATCACAGTCACTATACTTAAAGGTTTCAGCGAAAGGGTGTCCTAACAAAACATTGCTCAATAAAACTGTCCTGGCACAAACACAGTTCACTTGATCTTAAAAGCTGTGGTCGTGCTACTGTATACATGCACACACACACACACAGTGAAGGCTTAAAGGCTCAGTTCAGAGTTATTTGTCGCTGTTCTGTTTAAATCCTCTATGGTAAACGTGTTTGAGAGGCCTGTCACCTTCCTCTGGGAATACAAAGCCTGTAAGATCAGAGAAAACAGTTTCTGTGTGTGTGTGTGTGTGTGTGTGTGGACAGTAAAAATTCCTCTTGCAGGTAGTGAATAGACATACAAGATTTCCTTGAAGTACCTTATCAGAAAGTGCCAAATCTAGTCAAATGAGGGGACTAACAGCCTAACAACCGTTAGGATAGGAAGAAATAAAATGTATGCATGTCTATATTCGCACTTCAGGGCCAAACAAAGTATTTGTGATTTTGGGACCAGGCTGCAGGGATTTGCTGAAACAGGAAAGGGCCAAACACAAACTTACCAAAAAGTTGGAAGCAAACTGTTGTCGAAAATTGTCCCTTCACTGGAACTAAGGGCCCCAAAAGAGCCCCAGAGCCATGGCTCAGAAATATACATGTTCACATAATTTTGGCCATGTACTGTATGAAAAATTAACCACACACATAAATAATACAATATCTCACACAAACACCTAAAAACAGCCTCTAAGCCTGTGTTTTTTAAATATCCAGACATCTATGTATAATTTTGTTTGTGCATTATCCAGAGCGATAAGGTTTCTGGAAAGATAACTTGTCTTAAGATATTTCTATCTGTTTTCGTACAGAGCCTTTTCAATATCAAGCATTTAAAATATGGTTCAAATTCTACTGCAGCTCTGGATTTAGAGAGATCTGATTAAAGTCATGAAGGAAGACTGCAGCAGCCCGAGGCTCTGGCTGGGTAGGGATTCTGATTTTCAAATACTCTGGATCAATACACAGCAGGAATCAAACTCAGAGCGTCTAAAGCTACGACAGACCTGTAGATATGTGTTCTATAAATTATGTCTCCAAGGAACTCAGTAGCACACAAAAATTGTAAAAGAAATTCTCCCAAATATCAAACACAGCTTCATGGGTCAACAATGTACAATGTACTGTAGGCATTGTCTGCTCTGGTGTGATCACTGATCTGTACACATTTGCCCAGAAGTGCTTCGCTGCTCATATGTTATTTAGTGCACACACAACTGAGTTATATAACTGTTGTGCGAGATTCGCTCTGCAAAGCCCTATTTCTATCTGCCGGCTCTCTGCTCTGTAGCACTTGTATGTGAGTGTGTGGCGAACATGCAGCAAACCTGATTACCTGCCTGTCTTGATGCTGGCAGGGAGCCAGGCCCGTCGTACTGAAATGATTCATCACTGTGATGGTGATGTCTGATCAAAGGGGTCACGATGCGTGTGGATCAGACTTTGGTTCTCTGCCTCCACTTTCTCTCTTGCTCTGCATTGTGAATATGCACGGTATTACCCAAAGATTACATTTCTGTCCTGAAAAAAAAAATACCAACATATCGGTCGAGACGTGATCCTTGAAATAAAAAAGAGTGAAAGGCTGCTTCAGGTTCAAGAGGTGAAATGGGAAAGAAGAGACCAGACAAATACAGTCCTTGTTTTCCTTTTGCAAAAACTAGAGGTGGCTGCCAGGATTTTATGTTGGAAAAGAGCCTATATATGGCATGTTCACCATGTTCACCATCTTAGTGTTAATGCCAACATTAGCACTAAACAGAAGTACACCAAGACGCCAATATTGCCATTCGTAAAGCCTTGACTTAAAAAAATAACATTTTCAGATATAGAGATATAAACAGCAGAAATGAACAGCATATGAATGGACAAAAAACCCTCAAGGCTCTGACTGGGCTATTTGGTGTGAGTCAAATCTATCTCTGACTTTTTGTCTGACTGTGAGGCCCTGGCAGAAGTGCAGTGTGGCTGGCTCAGGTTGGGATTTCAGTCAGACAACTAACCTTGAGAGAAGAAGTCAAAGATCATTCATTCAAGGAATGTCTGGCTAAAGGAAGAACTAAGTGACGATGCTGCACATGATGTTCAAAATAACATCTATTGGTGAAGTGGCTGTTAAGATATTGCTGTACTATAGCTGCCACCAGTTATTTATGAAGTCTTGCAGCACTAATGCATTCAGGACTGACTTGTTTAACTTGTACTAGTTTCCACTGCAGAAATACCGCTGATAAACTCTGGATGCACCAAAACACTATGAATAATTTTCAAGCGCCATGCCAAGGCTGGCCTGCACTTCAACTCTACCAAAGGGTGGCTGTCCTCCAGTTCAACCCCATCAACAGGCCTAATGTGGTGTCATGTCCCAATACATCTGGAGAGATGTGTTCTGTCTGCAGCAGCAGGAGCCAAGGCTTTAATGGAAACTGGCTCCCGCCAGGGAGAGCAGCACAGGTGCAAGGCCACTGGTGGTTGCATCCTTCCCATATATAAGAGACAGAGAGAGGGGGAAAGTCCACTGTACCAGGAAATCTTGAATCGGTGAGTAGCACAAGACAGGATATGATAAAAGGGGGAAATGGTAAATGGGATTGACATGGTGACTGGTCTGTAAATGGTAATGATTTCCAATATTTTCAGAGTAATGAAGTTTAGCTTTCACAGTATTAATTTGGCAAAATTGTAAACAAACTGTGGACTCAAGTGGTTCAATGACTTTTTCTCTTTTGAACTCATTGACTTAGTGCAGAATGGTCTTTTTGATCTAAGGTATGCCTTTATAACCTCTGGCCAATGAGAAAAATTACATATTCATCTTGATCAGAGAGTTCTTAAAATGCAAATGCTAGTGTGAAATTGCAGGGGGCAGAAAAGAAGAGAAATGATGAAACAAGCAGTCGAAACGCAGCAATATTCTGCTTTATGTTGAGTGGCTTCATTGGCTGTTTTCACCCTCTGCTTCATTCTGCATGCGGTTGATGCAACTAATTCACTACATACAGGTCAATGCTAACCTGCAGTCCCTCAAAATAGCGTCTCTGACACTCACATGCTGAAATGACGTGTCCTCTGAGATCAGCGTTGACAGACATTAAGATGGGGAGCCAAAATATCCATGACTCACACGGTAAGTAATCCAGCTATGACTAATCAGTTAACCAGGTAATTAAAGTTGTATTGATTTGGAGGGGGGGCAACCTTTGGTGCCAGTGATGACTAACAAGCCTCTGAGACTGCCAAGAAATTAAAAAAATAACAATAAGCATTTATTGGAGATTCAGTCAAAATGAAGAGGTAGATAATAGGAAATGTCATCAGCACACAGCTTCAGTCAGGTTGATCAGCAGGTACTCTGCATGCCTTGCAACTTAATGTGATATAGTCACTGGCATTTGTTTAATATCTAGTGTTGGCTAAAACAAATGTTGCACATTTCCAATCTGTTGTCAGCTTGCATTAGCTTGGAGGGTACACATGGCTTTGTTACCTTTATTACATGAACGTCTCTGTCACCATGAACGTCCCACCAAACCCCATTCGAAAATCCGGTAGTTCAATAAATTATTGCTTGATAGTCTAAATGGGAAAAAAGGAATGAATAGTCAAATATTTGCATTCACCAGCCAAATGACAAAAATCTGAGGACGGGTACGGCCCTTTGTATTCCCCCAAATGTTGCTTAAATTCCTTTAAGGTTTATTATTTGGAATGTAAAATCATGAAAAGCAACTAGTAACTGTCTACTTCTAGTCTTTGATGTAACTATCAAACTGAGAGGTTATTCCCCTCGGATCTCCAGCTCAGGACAAACCCATTAGAACATGGAGGACGACTTTCGGCCGCAGGTGAAGGAGGTGGCTGTGGCCATGGGTGCTTCACTCACAGAGCAGGACATCGACCGCATGCCAAGGGAGATGACAACGCAGGGTGACACTCTGTGTGTGTGTGTGTGTGTGTGTGTGTGTACATTTGAGATGGCAGTCATGCATTAAAAGGGACTGGTATGATGAATAAGGATTTTCTCACGTGTGAGTCATGATGATGATTTCACTGTCTGATGTCATCGTTTGTGATTCTCTGCAGGAAACTTCAACTACAGCAGGTTTCTCGAGTACATGAGGCAGTTCAAGACTTCAGAGCAAAGAGAAGAAGCCATTACAAAGGCCTTCATGATGCTGGACAAAGATGGCAGCGGCTATATAGAGTGGAATGAGATCAAGTATGAGCCCTACACTTACATAAAGGATACAGCTGGTTTTATCCTATAATTGTGTTATTGTCAACAAATCCCCTGAGGACTAAAGATGTAAATCTTAAAAACATTATTAATATACATGTGGCGCTCTAGCAAGTATTTGGGGCAGCAGGATGGTGTATGTGGGACTGAGTCAGTATAAACTATAGTGCGTGTGCTCGTGGTGATGAAGGAACATGTCACTTAGTTCAGCAGTGACTTTTTAAATACTTTCTGGACAACAATGAAACTCTGCGACACAGAAGAAGAACAGATAGAAGGCTGTGATACACACAGTATTTGTTAGTATGATCAATTTATTGTTGATTTTGGTCTTTTCATGGAATTTGTTGACAATAAAAAACTATTTAGTTTAGGATTAGGATCCAATCGCAAGCCCTCCAGGCAGAGCAAGTTCTGTCAAAATTAATTTAATTTAATTAATTTCAATAACGACACCAAGGAATACACAGCCTTACGGTGAGTTGAGGGGTCAAACCCATGCAAACCGTCCATGCAAATCCAAAATATCCAGCAAAGCAGGTAGAATATCCCAGAGAACATCAACTAAATACCCTACCGAGGGGAAGCTAACGAGACACAGGTGAACTTAATCACAGATACCCAACACAATGACACCAGGGGCAAAACACCTTCAAAACAAGAAACACAGGAAACAAGAAACACAAACCTCCCAGAACGGTGACATGATAAAAAAAGAAAACAATCATTAAAGCTGATAAAGATTACTATTTTCACAGGTACATTCTGTCAACTGTACCAACTGCAGCCCCATCAGCTCCTCTCTCTGATGCGGAGGCGGAGGCCATGATCCAGGCAGTTGACACCGATGGAGATGGACGCATCAACTACAGAGGTGAGGTCTATTTTTCTTTTTCTTTTTTACATTTCACACTCTCTGGTGCACTGGCCTGTAGTCACCACTGAGGGTCAGCAGTTAGTAACTTTTCACTTCAGGCTTTACAAAGCTGAATCATACATAGCTTTTAGCTTTTAGTAAAGTAAATAGAAAGTCAATAATAATAATAATTACCTGAAATAATAATGTCAACAAATTAAAGTTGTTTTGTAGATGCTAAATTGAACATATACTTGTTTTCACAGAGGAAAGATTTAAAAAAAAAAAAAAAACACCCTCACCGTAGAGTGACACTGACATATAGCCCTGCATGTCTCTCTCCCCATCTTGCAGAATTTTCAGACATGGTGAAGATGGAGAAGAAACCGAGGAAGTAGAGGTCACGTGGTTTATCTGTGCTCCAGATTGTTCCTACAAAGAGACTGTGAAAGATAGGAGAAGATGACAAAGAGGTCCAGATCTACCTTCCCTAAAGATGATCTCCATGATCTCCTGTGGATCATGAAATAGGGGAGTGCAAGGACTGTTATCAGTACAGTTTCTTAAATTAATTAAAAAAGAACAAAACGTGATTTGTGGGAAACTGAAGTTACTTAAAACATGGTGACTTTATAAGCTGACTGCCTTCTGTCCAAAACTAATGACTAATCTTAATCTCTTAAAAAAGGTGCAAGCTCACTGTATGTTATCACCGAGACACCACACTGGTTTAAAACAGAAAGACAAATAGAAATTCAGGAATGCCTGTCTTCAACTTTTGCACATATTTTAACACTATTTTTAAAAAATGTATGACTGGAAAAAATAATTTATTCGACTGAAAGTCACAAAATGCAAAACAGTGCATGTGCCTTTTAAAATGTTGCTTACATATTGTTCGTGTCTTGTCTGTCACTCTGTCACAGATCGTTTCCACAGGGTACCCAAAATGCTGCCACACAAAGAATTTAAAAGTGGCGTGGACATAAAGGCTTAGATTAGGGGCGTGATGATACAAGCGTGTCACGAGACTTAGTCACAAACAAGATGAGAGTATTTTTTACACTATTTTGAAGAAATATGAAATGCTGAAATATGAGTGGAGGGACTGAGGGTCTTAATTTCCTGCATCAAGGAGACATTTTCTGCTCCAATTTAAGGTGGAAATGTCTTGTCAAATAAACCTTTCTCAAAGCATTTTCATTTGTTAGTTAACATTAATATTTTTCAGAACATTTTTAGCAAATGCCTTCAAAAAGTGATGGGGACAAAATCAGTCATGTCAAAATGTGTCCCCAGCTTCCTCAGTGTAAATGACACGTGTGGGTGGGGTCATCTCCTATTCTAATTTCACCCTTACACTCCGTCTTGCTGATATTGTGAGACAGCTTTTCACCTCGATAAGAAACGTGGTCACATTTTAATATTGTGAGATCTCACAACACAATATCATCACACCCCTAATAGATCCATCACATAGATTGTTGGCCTTTTATGTAAATACAACAATCCATATAGTCTGAGTAAAACACTTTTTCTTCTTGGAGGTGAAAGTTACGGGAATTGTGACGAAATGTATGACACTTTTAGCTTCTCCTCTCTATTAAAACCCAAATGCACAATGTTCTATTGAATGAATACAGCTGCTGAATGAGTTGCTCCTCTGCAGTGATGCTAGGTGAGCAGGAATGACAAAGAGAGAGTGGTTCTGTTCAAACAGCCAGTTTGGAAAGGACAACTGGATTTACTGAGGAGAGCAGTCTGTTACTGGACAAGTGTCTGACAAGGACACGTGTGTGGACGAGTAAACACGACACCTGTAACAAACAAAGATGGCAACAGCTGTTACCTCAAAATGTTAACATGATAATTAAAACTGCATGACAAAAATTTGAAAATATTTCACTGGCAAAAACTTGAGAGAAATGTTAGTAGTTTTTGTTGACTAAACCTAAAATGACTACGCTAATAAACATTTTCATCAAGACAAATACTAAATCAAAATGCAGTTAAACTAAATTCTGTGGCTCCTCCTCAGCCATGATAAAATTAGGCATCGTTCATTCTTTCATCTCCCAAATGTGGCAGTTACCACACAAAGTATAAAAAGCTGAAAATTAGCCGACTTTCCCACACAGAATATTATAACAGCTGAAGTGAGTAGAATTGAAAATGAACATAACTGTATATGTTGTCTCAGACTTTATTAGGGATCCAAGCAGCAAACCGAACTCCTCAAACACCGTTGGGCAAATCAACTCAAAACTTTGTCAGGATCATCTACGGACTTTGCTGAGAAAAACTTAGCAAAAGAATTTTGATTCGTCAATGTTTTTTTCCATAAATTTTTACTTTTGAGTTTTTACGTACAATTTTACGCAAATGCTTGTAAATCACAACTGGCTTAAGCGATTGTAACTAAACATGGCGCGTCTGTTCTGGGGTCTCATTTATAAACGGTGCGAACAGGGCTGGAAACATGCGTACACCACTTCCCAAGCAAAGGTTGTGATCTATAAAAAACAAACCTGACAGGAGAATGTGCGGTCCTGTAAGTAAACTCTGAACCATGCGTAGGCCTACGCACATAAAGAAAAGAGAAACGGCGACTCACACGGCAGAAGGATGAAACGGTTTGAAATGAACAGGCCTACTATTGTGTAAAATAAATTGAAACATTACCTCAGAGTATTGTAGGCTTAAAGCCTTTCTGAATAAACAAACACCCGTTTGATTGACTTTTTCCTGAAGTGTGCAAAAAAAACCACAACAAAATGTCAGATCATGTGCAGCACACACAGAAAGATCCAGATTCAGGAAAATATACTGTACGAGCCATTTTCATTCTGTATTCTTTTATGTAATTCTTGTCTTGTGCCACTAGGGGGCTGTATGTGCTTTGCAGTTCAGCTGATCTCGAGTCATGGAGGTGTGGGTTATTTACGTAGAGGAAACCCAGACACAGGTGTTGCTGATTTGGGAAGCAAACAGTTTTTGACTGTGCTAGTGTCTAGCCTGGGGGTAAGCAAGGCACGATGGTGTTGGTTACATCTATTACGAGCAAAGATAATGCCACTGTATGAGACATGGAGGAAAATAAACTTGCTAGTTAATAGTAACATTACCAAAGTCCCCGTATGATATTTAAGACGCTGCACGGGCACATGTCTAAACTTAATCCACTGTATTAGCAACCAGTTACTAGACTATGTTAGGATTTAGTCAGTACATATACACAAATGGAGATTGTGTTTCTGCAAAAGAACGCCTCAAATATGTTGTACAGTTTAATCAGGAATCATATTAATTAATAGGCTACTTGCATGAGGTGCTATTTTTTCTCATAAATAAGGTGAAATTTGATGCCATTTTCAGTGTCAGTCGACAAACAGGAGAGCATAGTTTCATGTAGTCTATTATCACATGTTCGTTGCCTTATCGAGCCAAACGCTGTGCGCCAGCCTGTGGATGTGATGCGCTGCTTGTGAAAACACGTTATGGAAAATATAACACTATATTATTAAATAAATCTTTCAGCTCATGTCATTTACAACAAGTCATATTTCTTTTAACTCATCGGCAGCCTCGTTACGTGAGTGGACTGTTTGTGTAGCTTAAATAAATGTTTAAATAGAGGTGGTTAACGTGTTTAAACGCATTTGGTTTACTATCTTTTCAAACGGAGGAATGCAAATTAGTACATGGGTCATCCCATCTTGCGTGTGTGTGTGTCCCTCCAGCCAGCGACGTCACTGCTCAGGAGGAATGCCCCTTCCTGCAGATCGGTTATAAAGGGGTGCAGCTCCGGTGCCCCCTTTCCTCCGGTGCGCAAGCGTTGCGTGAAAGTGCGTTTCTACCCACCAAACAACATGCTTCAGCTTCAGGGGGTAGGCTACTACACATACGAAAAGTTTAAACCTCGTAAATCGTTGTATCGATTCATACACAATTTGATTCGTTTGTATGATTATACTTATTAAAACAAATGTACATTTCTAGGCATTTCTCATTCCAAACTTCTAAAAAAATCTAAGAAAATAAACCTGTACGTCCTAGAAAGATATCTACTGATATGTGACAAATGCTTGCCTCACTAATCACTCTATATTTTTCAGAATATGCTAAATAAATCATCTATATCTCCAAGTCTTGGTTCAAACTCTACCAAAATCGACACAGATGTTCTCTAGATGTCCGATAAAGTGTTTTTAAAGGGTTTTTACATCTGTCAAACGGTGAGTCTGCAGTAACATCTTCTTTTCGGCTAAGTGTTGCAACAAAAACAACCAAAATAATTGACAACACACTCAAAACCCGCTGAATGATGTAGGATTTTTTAAGAATTTTATCACCAACATTTAGACTTTTGTAAGCATTTTAGGTTAAAACTGACAAAAATGTCCGGGTCAAATCCCCAGGTGACCATGTCTGATTTGCTGCCAATCGGGGTGATCACAATGAGTGCAAGTGTTCCTATTATACTTGGATCCCGTGACACTTTTTAGTTTTCTCTGCTAAAGTGTTTGTGCAGCATAACCCTTAAAACTTGGAAACACAACATTTGGCAGGTGGGATGAAAATTTGGCCTATTAGTCAGGTACATAAACAAGATTGCCAAAAGTTTATGGACATCTCTCCGAAACAGTGAATTCTTATGTTATAATCACTTCCGTGACGTCAGTTGTAAAAGCACATAGGCATGCAGACCGCTTCTACAAACATTTGTGAAAAAAATGGAGGGAAAAAATGGGTCGCTCTCAGGACCTCAGTGAACTCAAGCGTGTACCGTGATAAGGTGCCATCTGATCCGGTCAAGCCACCACTACATATCACATTCTATTCTGCTGTACACCCACACCAAATGTTGCATGACATTTCCTCGACCAGAGCAATCACCAATATCATGGATGTTGTTGTCCAGTCTGCTCAGCTGGATGAAGATGGGAAAAAGCAACAGCTGAATACAGATGTCTGCACCTCTAAAGTGGGACGAACTCAGATATTAGCTCATAACATTTTGCTTGCAGAAGACTTACCAGTTCGTCAGAAACCCTACCGTTGCTCACCTAGGAAATTACAGGAAATAAGAAGACACCTTAATGAAATGCTAAGTGATGGAATGGAATCATAGTTCCCTCCACATCGCCATATGCTGCTCCGGTGGTATTGACAGATTTTTCCCGAATTGCAGAACCGCTCAATGCACTGAAAAGGAACAAAATTCATCTGGACACCAGCGTGTCAATTGGCTGTTGACGTATTGAAACACTGTCTTGTCTCTGCACCAATCCTTGGACATCCAGACTTCACTTTGCCCTTCATTGTGTATACAGATGTGAGTGATATGGGACTGGGAGCTGTCTCGGCGCAACAAACGGGCCTAGGTAGTGAACATGTCGTTGCTTTTGCTAGTCGCACACTAAACCCAGCGGAACGAAACTACTCAACCACCGAACAAGAATGTTTGGCGGTAGTCTTTGCTCTGGATAAGTGGCGTTATTACCTGGAAGGAAGAAAATTCTGTCGTAACTGATCACTCTTCTTTAATATGGATCTTCAAAACACAAAAACACAGTACCAGACTCATTCGTTGGGCA